ACCAGGAGTAGCAGCTAGGGCTCCGTCCAGGCCCGGTCCTCGCTGACCGGAGCCAGCCCTTCTGGAGCCTGGGTGGTCGGGCCCTGCCGCCCCGCTACGGGCGCAGGCTGCCACCTTTTTCCCCGCCATGATGTTGCAATCTTGGCCAGGACGCCAGGCGTCCTCTCTGGCTCTCTACGGGCCTTGGGGACACTGTGGTCAGGCGGGCACTCAGGTTACACTGACACCCTGCTGCCACTGGGCCTGGGCCTTCCCCGCCAGCGCCAGGTGGGCCCTGAAGAGCAGGGGCAGGAACCAGGAACGGCAGGGGAGGAATGCCAGCGGTGACGCCGCTCAACACGCCTGGGTGCGCTGGGACCCTGGGGCAGCCTGCCAGCAGCAGAGCCTAGTAGGGGAGGTGGGACAGCTCACAGATGGCCAAGGCTGGCCCAGGGCAGACGTTGTAGGGGCAGCACAGCGGGGCCCACACTGAGATCGAGACGTTCTTCGAAGGCGTGGTGTGGGGACCAGAGCCAGCCTTGGGACTGCTGGGGTGGGGTTGGGGGAGGTTGTGGCCTGGAGGGACAGGCAGGTGGCCAAGGCCCGCCCCTGGGAGGTCACAGTGCTGGGACCTCCCTCAGGCATGCTGCTGGCTCCGCAGGCACTGGCCCTGCAAGTTGTCCAGTGTGGCCCCGGCAGTCTGTGACAGGTGCAGGTCCGTGGGGCTGCGTCTCCAGGCATCCTGCAGACTTCGGGCCCTCATCTGCCTCCCGGTCACTGCTGCTCGCGCCCGGGTCCCTGTTCTGGCCCTTCCGTGTGAACGGGCTCGGTGTGATTCCTGCCGGTCTCCCTTAGTGCGCTGGCTGGCTGGTGTGTTGGGGCGGTCAGCTTTGTTGCCTGTGCGTCTGTGAGTGTGCGCTGTCCGTGATCATGGTGGGCAGTGCGTCCATGTGAGCGCACCATCTGCGTTTGTTCGTTCCTGAGTGTGCACGCCGTCTGCGTTTGTTCGTTCCCTGTCTGTGAATGTGTGCCATCCGTGTTCGTGGTGGGCTGTGCGTCCGTGTGAGCGCGTATCATCTGCATTCGTGGCGGGCTGTGTATCCGTGAGCGTGTAGTCTGTGTTGTTTGTTCCCTGTCGTCAGTGAGTGCGCACCATCTGCACTTGTGGTGGGCAATGTGTCCGTGTGAGCACACGCCATCTGCATCCGTGGTGAGCTGTGTGTCCGTGTGAGTGCGCACCGTCTTCATTCATGGTGGGCAGTGTGTCCGTGTGAGCACACGCCATCTGCATCCGTGGTGGGCTGTGCGTCCGTGTGAGTGCGCGCCGTCTGTATTCATGGTGGGCAGTGTTTCCGTGTGAGCACACGCCATCTGCATCCGTGGTGGGCTGTGCGTCCGTGTGAGTGCGCTCCGTCTTCATTCATGGTGGGCAGTGTGTCCGTGTGAGCGCACGCCATCTGCATCCGTGGTGGGCTGTGCGTCCGTGTGAGTGCGCGCCGTCTGTCTTCGTGGTGGGCAGTGTGTCCGTGTGAGCACGTGCCGTCTGCGTTCGTGGTGGGCTGTGCATCTGTGTGTACCGTTCGTTCCCTGTTGTTTGTTGGTAAGTGTGTGCACCATCTGTGTTCGTGGCAGGCTGTGTTTCTCTGTGTGTGCACAGCCCATGTTCCTTCCCTGTCCGTCAGTGAGTGTGCGCCGTCTGTGTGTGTGCACAGCCCATGTTCGTTCCCTGTCCACAGTGAGTGTGCACCATCTGTGTTCATGGTAGGCTGTCCCTTTGGCATGCCTGTGCCCACTGTGAGGCGGGTGATGGTGTTGGTGGCACCATCGGGCCGGTCCAGCCTGCAGGTGTGTGGTGTGCTGTGACCGGCAGGGCGGTGGCCTGCTCTGAAGTCATCTGAGCTCGCCTGAACATTGGCGGCCCCAGGGCCGGAGGGCAGTGCAGCCCGGCGTGCCGAGGCCACCTCACTTGGGAAGGCTCCGGTTCTTGTCCCGGGGCCGGAGAGCAGTGCAGCCCGGCGCGCTGAGGCCGCCTCACTGGGAAGGCCCCGGTTCTTGTCCGGGGCCCGGTGCGCTGAGGCCGCCTCACTTGGGAAGGCTCCGGTTCTTGCCCGGTTCTTGCCCTGAGTATGGCGGGCACAGCACGTGCCCACGGGGACGGCCGCGGTGACCATGCCCGGCTGCTGGGTGCCGTCCCTCTTGCTCGCGGAGGAGATGGGTGAATCAGCTCAGGATGGGCTGCTTGCGGTGCCTCTCAACGCCACTTTGGGAGAAGCAGGCAGACGGGGCGACTGTTACTTGTGAACCGCAAGGAGCCCAAGCCTGGGGGGCGGCTGGGAGAAGGTCCCTGCGGGAATCTCCCACAGTGCGCCTGGGCTCGCTCAGATGGGGACTGAGCTGGTGCTTGTCAAAGGGGCAGCCGTCCCCGTGGACACGTGCCTTGACCGTACCTGTGGACACTTGCTGCGGCCGTCCCCGGGGACACGTGTGATGCCTCCACTGTGCAGCGGTGGTCCTGGCCAGGCCGGAGCGGTCGGCCCCGGGCAGGGGCAGAGT